CKGGAAGTCCCCCGGGGGCCCAGGCAGCGAGGCTAGCCCAGGACCCCCCCCTGGACGTCGGGGAGGCCAGGGCTCCTCTGGGCAGGCTAAGTCCTCCTCCTCCTCTTCCAGGGGAGGAGGACTTAGCCTGCCCAGGACCCCCCCTGGACGTCGGGGAGGCCAGGGCCGCCTTCCCCCGGGGCTCCTCTGGGCAGGCTAAGTCCTTCGCGGAGGACTTAGCCTGCCCAGGACCCCCCCCGGGCCTTGGGGGACTTACCTGCTTCTCCGGGCAGAGTGCTGGGCCCTGGCCCTGCTCGTCCTTGCGAAGTGCCTTGCTAAGTGCCCTGTCGCATACACCCCGTGGTCGCTACGCTCCTGTGGTCGCTTGCCGGCTCCCGGCTTTATGGGAAAGCCGGGGGGCCGGCCCGGGGGCCCATTGGCCCAAGGGCTGCAGAACCTCCCCCTGGAGAGCTCCTCAGCTGCGGCTTGACATCGTCGGAGAGCCAACCTGTAATTGAAGCCCTAACCCTACTCACCTGCCAACGCACCACTTAGTCTCTGGGAGCAAAGGAGGGAGGGTGGGCAGACATCCACCAACCACCTGTCTGAGTTGTCTTCTCCTCCAGTCCAGCTCCAARACCTGTAAAACTAAGACGCCCTCAATCACCAAAAGGCGCACGGTCCATAGACAAACACACCCACAGCTAGCCACCAATCTGGGCTGCAGAGCTGAAAGGCGGTCCGCTCAAGATGGACGCTCGTTCTTCCCCACGTCTAACAATGTACCCACTGCCTGGCTTTCCTCCTCCGGAAGAACACGTGTCCGGAGTGCTGCCCAACACGGTCTGAAACAGGCGCCTTAGTACCAGTACAATGGCCACCTCCAAATCCACTTGTCCAGGAGCTGTCCGCGTGATGGGGCCGGTCCCGTGCCTGTCCAAATTCTCCTACCTGTCCGATGCAGCCATCCTCTTGCATGCTGTCCAGGATTCCTCAAGGGGTTTCCCACCTGGAAAACACAGACCACACACTTAACTATTTATTTTATTTATATAATAAATAAAGTATTTAAAATACAGAATCACTTTATTACATAGAAAACATAAAGTATTCACATAAACATAATAAATAAAGTATTTGCACAAAGTATTTAAATAATATACACAACCACTTTATTACATAGAACCCACTTAAACATATGCAAAACTGCTTATTTACACCCCAAAACCGCTTAGTTTCTTTACCAGGTGGGGAGTTTGCTCACTTATTTAAATTCATCCACTTATTAAAACACAGAGATCACTCACTCCGTTATTTCGACACAGAAACTGCGCTGCTGTCTGAACACAGGGACGAAACGCTTATTTAACTGTATRGATGGTTCTACACGAACACAGGAATCACTCCCTTCTTATTAGTAAACTKCAGAGATCCATGCCTGGGCGCAGAAATTGCTTATTAAAATCAAGAGACACATCACCTATTAAAATACRGAGATCAATCGCCTCTGAATTTAAACTCACAGCTGAAGTGCTCATTAAAATGTACAGACCGCCTACTTGTATATAAATCCAGGAATCATCCCTTTTCATTAAAATGCAGGGATCCATCGCTCCTTACTAAGTGCAGGGACGGCTCGCTTCTTATTTGAACATATAGACCAATCACTTCTTACTAGTTTAAACACAGGAATCTATTACTTCTTGTTTAAACACTTATATCAATGACTACCTAATTGCAACACAGACATCGCTCACTCATTAAAACAGAAGGATCAGTCGCTTGCTTACTTAGTATTAAAATGCAGAGATCCCTCATTAACTTAACACAGAAATCACGCTCTCCCTTACTTAAACAAACACAGCTATCGGTCACTTCTTAAATGTAAATTTGGAGATCGCTCACTCATTTAAATGCATAGACAGTTCTTTTCCTATATGAACACAGGGATCGCTACCTTATAACTAAAACACAGAGATTCCTCAGTTATATAAATGCAGAAATAGCCCACTGACTTCTTTGAACACTGGGATCCATCACTTACTGGCTTGTTACTTAAACGCAGGAAGGCACAAATCTCTCTCTCTCTCTCCCCCTCTCTATCTATCAATCGCTCACTTACTTGAACACAACTATCAATGGCTTGATACTCAGTTGAACACGGCGCTCACACAGTTCCTTAAACACTGAGATCCATTACTGATCTAAACACAGAGATCTTGCACTTATTAAATGCTGGGATCTTAAACATGGAGATCCCATTTAAAAGTGGAGATCACTCACATTTAAATGCAAATATCAGTCACTTCCTAATTGAAATCCTGAAATGAATCGCTCGCTTTTATCTAAACACGGAGATTGCTCACTGATCTAAATGCATAGACAGTTCTCTTATAAACACAGTGATCATCCCTTATGATTAAAATGCATCCCTTATGATTAAAATGCACAGATGCCTCATTTGCTCACTGCAGCGATCGCTCACTCATTTAAGCTCAGGGATCTGTGGGTTACTAAAACGCAGCGAGGCTCACAGAGTTACCTAAACACTGCTATCGCTCACTTCCTATTTTAACCGCCAGGTTCACTCACTCGTGTACGTAAATGCAGGGATCGCTCTCTTCATATTAAACACAGCGATCCCTCAACCGTATCAACACAGAAACTGCTCGCTCCTTTATTTAAACGCAGGGATCCACCGTTCATTTTCTAAGGGCAGGTACCGCTCCCTTCCTTATTTAGGCACCAACACTAATGGCTTCCTCCTTCGAGCAGAGGGGTAATTCACTCCAGGCTTTAAACGCGGGCATCGATCGCTTCTGGAAACTCCTCCTAATCGCTCACTCCTCACAGWACAATGCAGAGATCCCTCAATTATTTAACACAGAGACAGCTCAGGGCCTTAATAAAACATTGGGATTCATCGCTCACTTATTAGTAAAATGCAGAGGTCACTTCTTACTAAAACACACAGAGAGCTCAGTTACGTAAACACAGATATCGATCCCTTACTAGATCAAACGCAGTGATCACTCGCTCAATTCCAWAAACACAAAGCTCCGTTACTTCTTTAAAGGAGATCATTCCTATAAATGCAGAGATCGCTCACTCACTCACTTACCTAAACACTTATATGACTTCCTATCGTACAGGCAGAGATCGCTCACTCGCACGTGACAAAGCGGGGAATGTTCCGCTTAGGCAAACACGGGCGCCACTAACTAACTCCTTTGTTAKTAAATGCAGAGACCCCTCTCTCAGTTAGATACAAGAATCACTCACTCGCTAGTTTAAATGCTGACATCGCTCGCTCCATGCTTTAAACACCGAGATCTGTCATCTAAACGCTTACATCGATCCCTTATTTAACCACCTCTATTGCTAACTTGCTAAGTTAAATGCACAGATCACTTAAGTAAAGGCAGACGTCGCTCGCTGCTCCGATTCCGGGACCGCTCGCTGACTTATTTAAACACAGATGTCGATCGCTTCCTATTTTAAACGCGGAGATCGCTCGCTCAGTGCTTTAAACGCTGGGATCTGTCATGGAAACGCTTACATCGATCCCTTATTTACACACCTCTGTCAGTATCTTGCTAATTTAAACGCAGAGATCGCTTATTTAAAAGCAGAATCTTGCTAATTTAAACGCAGAGATCGCTTATTTAAAAGCAGACATCACGCGCTACCACGATTCCAGGATCCTTCACTGACAGTTAAGCACAGATATGGATCACGTTCTCATTTAAATACATAAATGATTCTCCTGTGTGAACACCGGAATCACCCCCTTACCATTAATATGCAGAGATCCCTCAATCACCTAAATGCAGAAAACTCTCACTCACTCTCTTCCTTGAGCACAGGCATCCTCCAGATGCTAAAGCAAGGGAGCCCTCGCTGCCTACTAAAACACAGGGATCGCTCGGCGATTAAAACGCAGGGAACGCTCACTTACTTAAACGCTTCGATCCGTCACTTCCCAATTTCTAGGTGAAGATCATTCACTTACAAAATGGCAGGGATCACTCCATTATTTAAACACGGGGATGGATCCCTTTCTATTTTAAACGCAGAGATCACCCAATCTCCCGCTTAAATGCATAGCTGCTGCTTTCTACAAGCCAGGGATCGCTCCCTTATTAGCAGGCACAAAGAACTGACATGCATTTAAGCACAGAAACCGCTTGCTCCCTTCTGTAAACACACGGATCCATCGCTCACTCATTACAACACAGGGACCGCTCACTAATTTAAACACTGACGTCAATTGCTTTCTAATTGAAGCAAGGGGATCGCTTACTTCCTAATTTTGACACAGGGACAGCTCGCTCAATGCTTTAAACATCGGGATCCATCATTTAAACGCTTCTCCCGATCACTTATTACGATGCTTACACCAATAACGTGTTGACTTAAACGCAGAGGTCACTTCTCTAAAAGTGGACACCACGCACTACTACAATTCCGGGACTGCTCCCTGACACTTAAGCACAGATCTGGACCCTATTTTACACACGGAGGTCACTGAGTTTCTTGCTCGAGTGCACGGATGCTCCGGCTCGATGAATACGGGCAGCACCCCCTTATTCCAGACCGCAGAGACGCCGCTGTGTTCATCGCACCAGCGGCTCCCTGACTCACTCGCACACGGACACCCGTCACTTGTCGCCAGGGGGCAGGGAGTCACTCGCACACCGACACCGAGCCCTAACCTCAACGCGGCCCCGGGCCACGCCCCCAGCGGCCGCCCGGGCCACGCCCCCAGCGGCCGCCCGGGCCACCGACGTCACCCGCGCGCGGTGGCGCGAGCCCGCCCGCCGCTGACGTCACGTGGCGCTACCGGGCGCGCCCCGCCCACCAGCCGCGCTCGGGCCGCCGCGGGCAGGTACGGGGCGCGCGCCGGGGGGGGGGTCACCCTGGCAACGCGACTGTTGGGGTGGCGGGGGGGGGGTGTCACCCCGGCAACGCTTGGAGTGGGGTCGCGTCACCCTGGCAACGCTACCGTTGGGGTGGCGAGGGGGGTGCGTCACCCCGGCAACGCTCAGGGGCTTGGGGAGCGGGTAGCACTGTGTCACCCGTGYGACACTGCAAGTGACACCGCACCAGTGGCAGTGGCCACACACCCTTCGTGGGGTGTCCCCAGGACCCCTGTCAGCCTCCATCCTAGAGGGGTCTCTAGCCTCACCCCTGGCACGCGCACGCTGCCCTCCACAACAAGGTGACAGCGCAGGTGTCAGCCACTGCCGCGACGCGGGGCACGCTGACGGGAGCAAGGCCGGCAAGGGGACCGCTCCCCTGGAGCGCAGGAGCCCCTTCCCTGCACATTCCCACCCGTAAAGTCCAAGGACAGCATGCACACCCCCCAGGAGAACCGTATGGGAACACCCTGCCATACGCACAGATGCCTAGTGTGTCGCAACGGAGAGGTCCACCCCCGGTGCCACCCCGTCAGCCTGCCTCCTCCTGGATCAACATCCATCTCCCTGACCACKCTCAGACCCTCCTGGCACATCGCTTGTTCACCAAGCGTCCCCGTCAGGGCRCCGAGTGTGCTCGGGTGACGGGGACACCCTCCAAAACTCAGCCGCGAGCGCTCCCGGCTGCCGCCGGGCACAGCTTCTCCCTTCCCGCACCCATCGCCCGTCCTGTCCTCCATCCTGCAGGAGCCATCATGGACCTGGTGCTGAACGCCGCCGACTACCACCTCCTCACGCCCTACGTGTACCCCAGCACGTGGCCGGAGCACGAGCCCTTCCGGCAGCTCCTCAGCCTCTTCGTCATCACCAACCTCGGGGCGCTCGCCCTCTACTTGCTCTTCGGCACGCTCAGCTACTACTTCATCTTCGACCACGAGCTCAAGAAGCACCCGCAGTTCCTCGAGGTGAGCGCGCTGCGACACCAGCCTGCGAGCGCCCTCGGCCACGCAGCCTTGCTAGAAATGGGGGTGCTTCTGCACGCGACGCGGCCGGGGGGTGCTCTGCCGATAGGGGAGGGACACGCGGCTCCCTTGTCCCGTCCCCGCTGCTACGAGCGCGAGCAGGACGAGCCCCTCGCTCCGCTCACGCACGGCCACCTCGCAGCCCGCGCGGCGCATCAAGGTCTGCACAGAGCAGCTCCCCGGCAGCGCCGCCGGGTGCTCGCAGGCCCCTTCCTTTCGTTTTGGAGTTGCCGTTTCCCTCCCTAAGCAGCCAACACATTGCGAAAGGACCTCATTCCGAGGCTGCCTCRTGCACGCACACCCCTTGTTGGCACCGCGTGCCCACGCTGGCCGAGGCCCCGGGGGAAGAGCGCCCACGCCGGCAGCGCCTGCGCCACGTGCGGCACGACGCGCGGGGCCGGGGCCGCGCCTGCACGCACGGCCCCTGTGCCGCTGCCGGCCCTCACGGCCACGCTTGCCCTCAGAACCAGGTGCAGCGCGAGATCACCTATGCCGTGCAGTCCCTGCCGTGGATCAGCGTGCCCACCGTGGCCCTCTTCTTCGCGGAGGTCAGGGGGTACAGCAAGCTCTACGACAACATCGAGGACTCCCCGTACGGTAAGGAGTGTCCCCACGGCCCTGGCTGTGTCGCCAGCTTTGTGCCCTGCATCCGCACGCACCAACTTTGCGCCCTTCCTCACTGCCTCTCTCCCACCTTCTCCCTGTGAGCTCATGGCATCTCCCTCAGCTCCCCACGCAGCTGGCGTTCGGCTGCCAAGGGCCAGGCCACGCTCCGTACAGGCCCCGAGGAGTCCACCTGCCTGCTAACTGACCATGACRGTGCTCAGGAACGAGCATGTTCCAAGCTAATCCCTGGCTGACACRATAAGCGCGAGGACACCGCTGTCTGGGTGACAGCGACAGGCTGGTTTGTCCAAATGCTGCCCTGCCAACTCCTGCGCTAACTCCCGCAATTCCCATCGTATTTCCTTGCCTTTCCTGCCTGGCCTGTACACACACCTCCAAGAAAACCCAGAGCCACACTAAGGAGAAGGAGTCTGCCTTTTTTTGTGAGCACAGTCTTTTCCTGGGACCTCTACATTACAGGCCTATGAGCTCCGCTATCCTTGGTTTGTCCTTCCTGGCCTGAACTCTGTGTCCCTGAAATGACATTCCGCTAACGTGCATTTCTCYACAGGGTGGTCGGGAGTTATTCTCAGCATGCTGTCATTCCTCTTTTTCACCGACATGGGCATTTACTGGATACATCGATTCCTTCACCACAGACTGTTCTACAAGGTAGGATACGTTCCTGCACGCTCCACACCAGCGCTGTCCCTGCTACCTGAGCTCAGGAGAAGCTGCTCATCTGCGGGGAGTGACTGTGGCAGCGCACGGTCACCTGGGCCAAACAGTTATCAGGTTTTGGCCTCGGGCCTCATCAAACASGGAGACGTAGCCGTCCCCGGGGCAGCACGGGCCTTTGCGGCCCTCCTCCAAGGYTGCCCAGTTGGTGACAGCCTCTCATTAGTCACAACACCTCAGATGCAACCTCTGCACGTACCCTGTCCCCTGGCTGCCACCTCAGGTGCTCAGGCTGCCGCGTGTCCCCGAAGCTGCTGTCCCTAAAGCTGTGGAGCAGGTTCCCTCCCGCCGCGCTGCGGTCAGGCCCGGCAGGTCTGAGCTCTTCCTAGCCACAAGGACGTGCCGCTAACATTCCTTTCCATGCCAGGCCTGTGCTTTAGCTTTCCCTTCTCATACTGCCATCTGCACTGTCATCCTTAGTGTGACCCTGACCGTTGCCTCGGTGGCCCTTTAAAGGTGGCAGCCCCTGCCAGTGCCACAGTTATCACACTGGAGGAGAAAGAGCATTCCCCAAAGCCTGTCTATTTTTGTAAAGCCTGTTGGGGTGAGGAACAATCTGCTGCCTTTCCCTGCAGCAAAAGGGATCTCCCTCTAGATCCTGAAACAGGAAGAATGGGGCAGAAACGTCCCTGGGCTGGACAGCCAGGCTGGGACAGCTAATGGGACTTGGGCGATTGACTCTGCTTTCTTCACGCACAGCGTTTCCACAAGCCCCATCACCTCTGGAAGATTGCGACGCCCTTCGCCAGTCACGCTTTCCACCCCGTCGACGGCTTCATGCAGAGCCTCCCCTACCACGTCTACCCCTTCCTCTTCCCTCTGCACAAAGTGACTTATTTGGGACTCTACATCTTCGTCAACGTCTGGACCATCTCCATTCACGACGGTGATTACCGCGTCCCCAAGATCTTGAGGCACATCATCAACGGCTCTGCCCACCACACCGACCACCACCTCTACTTCGACTACAACTACGGTCAGTATTTCACGCTCTGGGATAAAATCGGCGGCTCCTACAAAAGCCCAACCTCCTTCGAGGGCAAGGGCCCGCACGACTACTTGCGCAAGCTCCGAGAGAAGGAGGCAAACGGAGGGAACGGTTGCGAGCCTCGGACAGTGCCTAACGGCGACTGCGAAAAAAGCAAATAATTCTCCATGGAATCATCCTTTACAGAGTGCCAGACCTTGTCTCGTTCTTCCTTTTGCCAAGAGCCAATTCCCTGTACAAAAAGCTGTCTCACTATCGCTCTGGGAACGCAACGATTATGGGTGCCTGAATCCGCTCGGCGGSCTGGGGCCGATGCGCCTAGAGACTGAGAAACACTCTCATCCTGGCCGTTGGCCGGGATCGAGAGAGAACCGGAGCCTCCACGGACAAACTCGCCGCGATTCCCGACAGCTGCCGTGCTCCACGGCACCTTCCCCGCACACGGACCAAACCTCGTGGCGACGCAGACCCCGTCCTGACCGTCCCCGGCACAGTCGGCCACCGCGCACCGCGACGACGGGTCTCGCAGCYGGCCTCACGCGGCGCCCCAGCACCCGGGCACGGCGTGGGGAYGTTACACCTGACAGAGGGTGCGTGCTGGCGCGGTTCCCCACATCTGTGTGCGTGCATCCTGGCACTGCCACCGCTATGTCCCGCTACAAAAACAGCTTTCTGTGCTGCAGCCCCCCAGCAGCACTTGCACAACGGCGACAGGAAACGCGGGCGCCCTGCCCGCTCCCTTCGGATTACTGCCCTCATCCGCTTCCGAAAATCCAGGCACCTCTCTGACTGCTACCTGGCTACAACAGTGCGGGGTTCCCTTGCGACTCGAGCAAACTGCACAAGTGAAGAAATTTCCTGCTGCTTTGTACAATTTTGTAGGATGCCTATGAAAGTATTCTAAGAGCGCAACACTTGCTGCAGTTTCTGCCTATCTGTACTGCACAACASCATAGCATCTTGTCAAGGACAGCCTCAGAAACTGCTCAGTTTTTATGACCATACAGAACAGCCTGCAATCTGGATACGTGCTTTTCCTCAAGTGTGACATGATTTCACGAAGCACACGCGGAGCACCTACCTTACGGAGACTGCGTGGCTCCTCCCAATGTCCTCGGTGGAGCGATGGTTTCTCCTTTRGGCTTTGTGCCGCTTCTCTATGCTGAAAGAAGGCTCCTAGTCACAAGCTGGTGCAGACCGTGTCTCCAGGAGACTCCTGCATGGTTCCGACGGTGGGTGCCATTCATCAGGAAGAAGGAAACCTGTTGGAAAAATGCAGGTTTTGAGTCACAGTGGTAGTTTTCTGTGGAGGGACATATATTTGCCCAGAGTCCACTATGAGGGTGGTGAGACAGGTATCAGGAGGTTAAAGATTGCTCTACGGTTTGTGGCTGGTTTTTCCCCTTAACATCCAACCTGCTCATTCCTGATTGATTTTGAAACCTGATAATGTTGCATTTTACTCTTGCTCATATTCAATAAATTTGACAACTTTGATGAGAACCTGTGCCTCCTCTGTAATTCCCAAAAACGTCTGACGACCACGGGCATTTCCTCTTCCTACCCCACAGCAGCCCCTTATGTCCTTATCTCATTCCCATCCCTGCTGCACCTCTCCCCGGATCGCAGGCCTCCCAGGCCACCCGCCCTGTGGGAATCTTGCTGCTCTACGTGTGGCCGGCGAGACCTTCATCTCTTCACCGAGAGGGGGAGGTCTTGGGGCACTGGCGCTTAGGCTTTGCTGGCTAATGTTTTACTTGCATGCYGCCTGAGAGATACACAGAGAACCTGCTGGCTACACACGCATGTTCACAAACAAACACATGTGGGGAGTCTGCTTAGGGAGACGGTGCTGCACCAAGACCTCATCCCCTCAAGCGCTTGTCCCTTCTCCCTCCAAAGCCRGCTCTGGGAGGCCGTTAAAAGATAGCCGGGGACTGCAGAAAGGGCCGTCTCTGCACGCCCCGAGCAAGTCTCCTTTGGCTGCTGGGGTGCTGCTGCAGCCCAAGGAGGGACGGACACAGATGACCCCTGTATCCAGGCCTGGCAGCAAAGGAAAAGCCRGGCAGAAGATGCTCTCGCAAGCGAGAGCGCCACGTCTGCTTCCCATTACCCTGCGACAATCCGATGACATCCCTGCCTAGCAGGCCCCGTGCAGCTTGGCACCGTCGTGGCCTCCGCGGCACCGTGCTCGCTGCGCACCACCAGCTTCCCGGGGAAAACATGGCTTTCTGCAGAACATCCTGCTCCACCAACATCCTCCCGGACAGCCTGAGCAACCGGCCACCCCTCTCCTGCCCGGAGAGCYGGGATCCGGGGGCTCCCTCCATGAGGCGGCTGCAGGGATGGAGCAGGTAACCGCACCGGCGCCCCAGAGCACGGGATTTGGCTGAGCCGGGGGCTTAGGGAGCCGGGCTCCGGGAATTACATGTCACAGATTTSCAATGCGCTGCTATGCCTGGATCACAGGCATCAGCTCCCTGCCTCGCCTCTACCCAGAGAACCGCTCCTGCCTGTACAGGCAGCACCAGCACGCCCCCGGTCCCTGCCAGCACCAGGAGCGTCACAGCAAACATTTTGGGGAAATGCTCCATTTCCTGCCATGCGTTATGCACATCAGCTATTACACGTCACTGACACATCCCATATGTACAGGCATGCAAACAAACATACCCCAGGTACGTCCGTTTTCCACCCTGCATCCATTAGCATCCTACCACGCTGCTGCTCACTGTTCCCTATCACATTGTCTCTCACCTATCACATCTGCACAACCGCCTGTCTCCCTCCAGAGGCCACAGCTGCTAATAACAGTAATTACAACAGTAATTGGCTTTGCAGTCCAACGCTGCTTCTGTTGCAGCCACACGTGAGAGCGCTGGCCTTTGGCTGGGCCCRATGAGGGGCCGCTGCCTGCAATACTACAGCACCAGATACGAATATTGCACATAGCAAATAATCCTGGCCAAAAAGAGCTAGAGCTGTGTTTCTGGGAAGGAAAGAGGGGGATGCTGTGGATGTTCCTCCCTACAAGTCACAGAGATGAAGCGACGCAAATTGGGTCACCCGAGCAGCCGTTCGCCCCRGCACTGGCACCCACCTCCCTTACATCCCGGGAGAGCCCCTTGCTTGGGATGTCCCCGCAAGCCAAGGGTGTCRTGTTGGGCCTCCCAGGAGATGCCGCCCATGGCCAGGTCTCCAAGAACCCGGCTGCTGCTGTAGCCACAAGATGGAGGTGTTGCTTTAGCAGGCACCGCCGCCAGGGCCGCGGAGCAGGGCCTCCGCAAGGGGACCTCCTCTTGCCGCTCCGTGCCACCCTATGGCGCCCGAGCTCTGGGGACGCGTCCCCGCTCGGGCTGCGCACGCTGCCGTTCCGTGCACGGCGGGGATTTAATAGCACATCCCGCGCCCTTCCTTCAGAGGGAAATGTTATAGCCCGTTGGCGCGTAGCGCGCGCCGGTGCCGCTGGGTATTTGTCGAGCGAGAGCACAAGCGAGCACGGGGGAGGCAAGGAGAGCGGAGCGAGCTGCTGAGGCCTGCGAGGCGGCCCGCACGCGGGCACGCGCTGCCCCCACGCACCGACCCGCTGCAGGTGGTCACCCCAGAGCGCCCTTCAGCCGCCTTATATCCCGAGGGACACCGCGTCCCAAACAGAAGGCTCCCCCCGCATGCATGAACAGTGCCCGCCAGCCTTTTGGCCTTTAAAAACCCACCATATACCTGTGCACACACACACATGTATATGTATACATCCGCATACAAAGCCACGAGTGGCGTGCTGCTAGCTGCASCGGAGAAAGATGCACTTTGATGGGAATAGCTTCTTACGAGGACAGCACAACAAGGCACCGGCACGGTACGTAATTCATSCTCCTCTTAGGAAATCAATGCCACTCATAACTGTGCACGCACGGGTAAAACGGCAATGTGCTCAGACCGAGGAACACTCCGTTAGGCCTAGAGCTGCATGGAGGATGTCCCTGATGCATCATATACGGCCAGACGACAAGGGAAGACCCGAGCCACCTCATACTGTGTGTGTGCACAGAAGCATTCGCTTTCCCTCGCATCGAATGCGGCACTTGCAAAGCAAAAGCAGGTTGGAGCGAGAATGCTCCAGCCCAGGCACAGCAAATCACTGCTAAATCTACTTCTGTCCACCTCTTTGAAGGCTGGCTGCATAACGCTGCCCACCTGGTGTTTATGCACCTAAGTGAATATGCGTCACCACCGCGAGAACAACAGTGTGCTCGGCTTGGCGTGCCTGCCGCCTTCCAGGCACGCGGGAGCCTCCTGGACAGCCGCTCGTCACCGGAGCACCTCTGCAAACCGGAGCGGGCCCTTCTCGTAGCGCAGGAGCCYGTGAGCTGCATGCAGGGCCCCTAGCAGCACTTGGCACCGGGCAGACCCAAGGCTGTAGCGACCAGAGGGCACCCTGAGCAGAGGGAAGCTGTGCTGCGCATCCACAACAACGTCACCGCTATCACAAGATCACCTTCACAAAAACAACAGGCTCTGCCCTTCATCTGAGCATCCTCCCTCCCTCTACACAGCAACACGGGCACACGGAGAACACTGAATGCGGGACTGAAGCCTGAACAAGGGACAGGATGTCTCTGTAGCAGCCAAAAAAGAGGCCTGAAAAGACCAGAAGGTTCAAGGGTATCCGCATGCTCCGGACCCTTGCAAGGCTGCTCCATGAACACAAGCGAGGACCACGAGAGCTCGCTGCAGCACGTGGCAGCTCTCAACCCCCCGGCCAGCTCCTTGGGGACATTTGCTTGGTAAATTAAAGGCTCGTACGCCAAAGAGCCGCAGCGCCGGCTCCAAAACCACACGCACGAAGCCTCATGGCTCCCCGGGGAGCCGTAAGCGCGGCGGCAAGGCGAGGCGGGCGCCGCAGCAGGACCGGCCGCTTGGCGGCGGTTCCGGAGCAGCGCGGCGGGCAGCAGGGCCGGATGCTCCGCGGGGCGGGGAGCCGGCAGGTTGCTCCGCAGCTGCTGCAGGCGAGCACGGGAAGCGGCGCACAGAGCGGGCGAGTCTGCCAGCAGCACCTCTGCGGACGCAGCGCTTGTAACACGGCACCGGGGAGAGGGTGACAACAAAGCCAAGCAACGTCCCTGCGCTACGACGGGCCCGTTACACTGTCCTGTCCATGCGTAGGATGCCAAATCCCCCTGTCCTTCCTCCGAGCCCAATTACTGYTTAAATGCACTGGGATGGGTACGGTCCGTGGCCAGAGCTGCTGTGGCAGAAACACGACTTTATTTGGGACCTTCCACAGGGTCTGAACAGCAAACAAAGCCACAGCAAGATGTGGTATCACCTGGAGGTGCTATAGGGYACACGGGAGCCGCGCGGCGGTACCAGCAACCCGGCGAGTGCGGGACAGACCGCACGCCCTTGCGGACATACGCAGCCACCTTGCCAGAGTACTACGAACAGCAAGACCYGGGACCTGTAGGAACCGGTCACCAACCTGGATGCTGAGCCAGGGATTCTTGGCACAAGAGAGGAAGAGGAAAGAAGGGATTAGTGACCTGTGGAGCTCCACTTATGCCCCACGGAGAGATTTGGCTCCCCAGGTGACAAGGCTGCTAATTGCTCCTATAAAAGCGAGGTGACCCATGAAATAAATGTGAACACAACTGATGAGATCTGCACCTCGCCATCTTTCCCAAGGGGCAGGCACTTTGGCACGGGGATCCCGCACTCCYGGCACCCTAGCCTCCCCGTGCGGAGCATTCCTGGGCCTCCAAGAGCTGCAGCACCCCGGGGCCCACAACCCCGCGCGGCAGCGTGCCCGGAGACACGCACCGGTGCAGGGGCTGATGCGGCCCCGCGCATGTCCCGTCCCCTTCGCCCGGCACTGCTGCATGCGCCCCTGGGACAGGGCAGAGMGCAGGAAGGGGAGGAGGGAAGGGGCTGCTCACCTCCCTCCCCGAGTTCACAGCGCGCACTGCTGATGAAATCCAGATGGGCCTTAAAATAAACTCGGCCGCGTTCCCCTCCCCTCTACAGCAGGAGACAGATTCCTCCCCCCCCCCCTTTTTTTTTTTAAACAGAAAACAAAACTATCCTGGCAGAAGAAAAGCCTATTTCCCTCCGCAAAGAAAGAGCCATTCATCTGTTAGCAGTTACCAGCTCTAGGTTCACTCCCGAGGTCCCGGCTACCGCTCTCGCCCTCGCGCCAAGCCAAACGGCCCTGAGGGCCGTGCCAGCCCGTGCACCGAGTGCCGGACAGAGACCCCAGGCACCTCTGTGCCCGGCAGCCTTCCCCGGACTCCCTTCTCCTGCCCTGGAAACCYGCTCCCAGTAAGGATCAGCTCCCCGCATTCTCACACGGCACAGGTCTCCTATCTGTCCCCAGAGGGGCATTGCAGCCGGCGAGACGGCTCGAAGCTTCATTAGGAGGGCCCGTAATCGCATCGACCCCGCGGCTGAAAGGCACTAACTAGGTTTCTAGGCGAAAGGGACCTCAGGGAAAGATCCAGACATCATCCCTGCTATGAAAGGGGGAGTARGCTTGCACCAGGGCTGCCAGCAGGATTTCTGTACAGCCATTCCCTTGCTGCCATTTGCATGTGTTTTCTTTGGAGATCTGCTGACAGCAGCAGGGACACTAGAGCAGCACTGTTATCCTACATGGAAAACAGTGCTGCTTTGCCCCCTCCAAAAAGGCCCGAAGGTGACAAAGGCATCACTTGCACTTTGTGCAAAACAGCCCAGCACAGAGATACACCAGGTAAACAGTGCAAATGCTGGTGAGCGGGATAATCTCCTCAATAATGACACAACGCATGGAGTTCATAAATCAACCTCTACAGGAAACAGAAGTCTTTAACAGCTGCTCTTCCTTCCCATGAAACACTAGAAATCACAAGGAGCCTCAAAACACAACCCCAAAACATGTCACCACCCTGGTCAAACTACATGCAAGTCTGGTAGAGATTTAGAAATGCTATGGGCTTCTCAGCTGCTTTTTTGGGTAATGGGCAGGAATACAGGAGATCAGCATTCGAGATGAGCCTGGGGAAAGAAGAGGGCYTTGATACATTGACAGACGTGGTGGTAGCACGACCTCAAGAACGGAGTGCTTCCAGGAGGTTGGAAAAGATTCCAAATCATAGGCCTGGAAGCTCTCCCATTGCAGACTACACTCCCTAGAGTCACAGGTGGCTTCGAGTCACACACAAGGGCAGCATGGCCAGGCTGTGATCTTTCCTGTCAAGTCCAGGTCGCACAGGCACAGCAAGACGCACGGCAAGAGCTTCCTGGGGCGCGTGACACTTGATCAGCCGCTACAATGGGACACCAGAGGGTATCAGGGTAGGGCCAAGGTGGACACTTAGGGGACACCTCGTGCCGCGTGGCAGACCTGGAGCATCGCACGGGTGACGGCTGCGTGCGGCACCACGCTGGCACGTGCAGACCCTGAAATATCCAGCAGCAAAGGGAGCACATCCCAGCTCCGCTCCAGCTGCTGCACCCTCTGCCTGTGACCACCACCTCGGCCACCTCGGGCCACAGGGCTCCACACGGGGACATCAACCACCATGGGGACACTCGCCACCGGCCAGCGCCGGGGTGCACGGCGCCAGTTTCGGGCGCGGCGGGGGACGGCCACGAGCAAGGAGGACGCGCGCGGGGCTGCTCTGGGGGTGGGGAAGGCCGGGCCCCCCCGGGGAGCGGCGGCGGGGGCGGGGAGCGGCGCCGCTGCCCATTGCACATTCTGTCCGGGCGGCGGCGCGACGCTCCGCTCCGCTCGGCTCGGCTCGGCTCCGCGCGGCTCCGCTCCGCTCCGCCCGGCCCGGTCGGCCCGGCCCCGGCCCCGGCGGCACGAACATGGCGACGCGGAGCAGCGGCGGGGCGCGCCGGGCC